TCTTGTCTCTTGCTGACAAAAGCAAAAAGAAGGATTTTGCAATGACAGATCAACAAAAAAAAAATTTCCAAAACATTGCCAGCGAATTTATCAAACACAGTCTCCAAGGACGTTGTGACGGGCGGACAGTGCAAGCCGAATAGATTGCAAACGTGGCTCTATATATTGCTGCAAACACTTTCCATTTGACCAGGAATGTTTCTGGAATTTCCAACCGGAAAATTTGCCAAAATGGAAAGCGCCCCTGATAACGCCCTTGATTAAAGCAACTCGCGGCTTGCTTCGACGTTCGCCACAAGCGTGTACATGTATGCGTGGGTCTCAATGGGGTTAACCGTCAGCCGTCAAAAAGGTCAGTTATTTTTCACCGTCACTATCAGCCGTCAAAAATTCCGATTGATATTAACTGTCAGAAAGTTTCAAGGCATTTCAAATCTTGCTTTTTTTAGTATTTCAGCTGATCGCCATGGACTTCTGCTCCTGAAGAATCCAGCTCCAAACTGGAAAACCAGTTCCCATGTTCTCAAAACACTCCTTCAAGACATTACAAGACCTTAGTACTTGCTTATATCTGAAAAAATTTCGAAATTTTACAAGTAAAAGGCCAAGACAACCTCCAAACCACAACAGTTAATATAAGTTTATACAGAAGTAAATATTTACTAAAACTCTTGGACTAAACTTCCACGAAATAACCGTCAACCGCCAAAATCGGAGAGAATTTACTGTCAACCGTCAAAGCTACCACCCCATTGAGACCCTCCGGCGTATGTGGTTACACGTGTCTCCCAAGAAAAGTTTTTAAAAAAGAGAGACAGCTCGCAGTCTAAGTTTCAGCACAGTTTTTGAGAAGTCGCGATCTGAAACATGGTTTATTTACTTTCGCAAACTTTGCAGACAGTCGAAGTCAAACTTTTGAGTACTGTGGATTACGTCAAGAACCACTCACGCCACGCATGGCCAGAGGGTCGGTATATCTTATAAGGTCTGAGTTACAGCGCGTTTAGCTTTCCCACCCAAAAACCCTCAGCCAATCAGAGCAGGATTTCTAGCAATGGCGGATGAGATCAGCGAAGTGCCCAGCGAGCAAGCTCTCAAGAGCGGGGATGGGTAGGAGGTTTTCAATTCCCCTACCCCTATCCCCGCTCTCTACGTCTGCCGCCAAAAGACCGCTGGCGAGCTACGTCCTGAAGAACCTTGGCAGTGACGACCAAAAAGGCGCTGTCTAGAAGATCGACCGCCATAAGTATTATCCAGATGTCGGCAGACGACGCAAATTTTTGCGAGCGGAAAATAAAACCACAACCTAAAAGTAGACAACCTCGTTCACAGGGCTTTTCCCCTGGGAACAAGGTTAAAAAGTCGACTAAAAGTAAGCCTGACCCAGGGTGACACTTATAAGTAGCCGACGGAAATTCCAGGGTGATACGCTCCTGATTAAGTAGTAATACGGCAAAAATGTCTAAAATAAATACCTGCCTTTATAAAAGAAGACGTTCTGGCCCAACTGAGGTACACAAAAATTCGACATGGCATATAGATGTAGTCGATGTATGACTGAGTCGTAAGGAACTCTTTAAAATTATCATAAAATGATCTAATTTTGACGCTGACGGCGGACCAACGGGGCCACTGTAGTTGCGATGGGGGAGAACAAAGCACAATAATTGCTCAGGTTCGCTTCTGGCTGGTAAAATCGTTCTTTTTCCTAATGATTACTCTCAAAAGGAGTCCAAAAACGTTGGCGGCAAGCAGCAAAGACACGTTACTACTGCTGAAGCGAAATTTAGGCAGTTTTAAGATCTCGCTAGCTGCTCTAAAAGGAAACACGGCGGCCGGAAGTCGAAAATGACCGGAGGCCAGGGAACTGATCGCCGGAAACGTCATTTCACATTCGGTTGTACAAAACCTAAATTCTTCAAGCCAAAAAGAAGTTAAAATTGCCTGTGTGATTATGAGAAAAAAGCTGGAAAAGCACTCAAGAATTAGAGAAAGCGAAAGCTCTGATTTGACTCAAGCGATTAGCAAAAAACCAGTAATACATTGTAATAATAATAACCTTCAGCAGGTGTAGCAGCAGCGTCTAGAGTATAACTGACTACTTGATATTTAAGGTCACAATCGATGAATGTATGATACCAGCCATGCTGATGGTTTGTGGTTGTTGATAATTTTTCTGCACAAATCTTACTGATGGTATAATAAAGATCAGTTGTGGTTGTTGTTGTTTTGCCTGGTTCCCATACATTGAGTTGCTATCAGTCAGGAAGGTTATGCCACGGCCACCAGCAAAGAAGCCAAAGAAGACGGGGGTTATTAATATAAAGTATTTGAAAATCATACTGATTTAAAAGCGATTTGCACGCTCACGATTTCCTCCTCCTCGCTTTCACAACAACCGGAGAGTAAAGAACTTGAAAATTGAAGTTTCGGAAGGCTTACCTTAAACCAAACGAATCATTTTCCTGAGGGGAATTACAGACTGACTGAACCGTCAACCCACGCAAAGTATTGAGGGTATTTTATCATTGTTAAAAATATATTGGACTAAGAAACGATGGCTAGAATCACGCTACGGAAGATGTAAGTGAAATTCATAGAAAGGAAGACAGTAATTTTTTCTCTCAGCAAGAAAGTAGAGACGATGTTGAATTCCGTGTACATCGGACAAAAGAAAGATATCGCTGATCGGAAACAGCGTGATCCAAAGATGTCGGATATGACGTTGAGCTGTGTAATTTCAGTTGACATAGCACAGCACAGGACTGTGCTACGAGAAAGGCGGGAATCCAGGGGCCTTTTTCTTAAAAGACCCGGAAAGTTTGCGGGCCCGAAGGCAAATTTTAAAATCAACATCTTTTGAATATCAACACGGTGTCTAGCTCACAAACCAGTCAATTTTATTTCTTTAAATGATAGTTTCATTGTATCAAAACTTTAAAAACGTTGATCTTCAATGCAAACAAGGCAAAAATAAAACAGCCTTACGTTCCCGAAAGTTACCGGGACTTTCGAGAAACAGGCCCCGGGGTGGGGGTTTTGAGGGGCGGGGTTGGAGAAACAGGAAGAAGGTGGGAGCAATTCTATAATTTCGAAGAAATCGTTCTAAATTTACATACCAGTCTGCTTAGAGCAATTTTGTGCATGAGAGCCAGGGAAAAATTAAGCACAGTTTGGTAAGTTTGAGGCGGATAGAGCAAGACTCAGGAACGACATGTTGTCGACTTAAACTTCCTTCCGTAACTAAGAGCAGCGACTGGGAAACAAAAGTCCTTAAATATCCATGACACTAAGATTGCACTGCTAAACTTAAATACCCCTTGACGTGTCTACGTCGGCGGAAGGTCACGACACGAGAACGCATATTCACCTGCAATATACATATTTTCGCCTGTGACATCAGCTCAGAGCGTTAATTTTTCCCTCAAATTTATGCTCTACATGTTCTTCCTTTACTTTAATGTCAAAACCACACAGCACTGAGAAAGTTACTGGCTGATTTTGCAATAAAAATCTACGCTTAAGGTACAGGTGACGTCAGGTTCAATGAACCGAAACTTGTAACTCAGTTGCTAGCAGATTACGTATTTCCTGTTGTGTATATTGCTACACAATTGTGAAAAGATTTTTTCTTGTCGACGTTTCAGTTTTAATTAAGTTTAAAAACAAAAATACTTTTTTAATACAGTTAAGAAATTTAAATGTCTTTCACAGATTTTATATGATTTCAAGAAGTTTACAATTTCTCGGTAAAAAGCGTCGTTATGAGCTTATGTTTGAATTCGTGAGCTTTGAGTTTGAATCTACATGAAAGTTTTGATATAATTATTGCTTTTGAAACCGATTAAATCCTTTGAACACTGAATCTCAAATTTTCACTAAATAAACGCTAAGTAAATCAGGGCTTTAGCCACGTCTGAGTCATTTTCGGGCGCAAAATGCTGGTAACATTATTCAGTTTCGTTGTCTTTGNGTTTTGATATAATTATTGCTTTTGAAACCGATTAAATCCTTTGAACACTGAATCTCAAATTTTCACTAAATAAACGCTAAGTAAATCAGGGCTTTAGCCACGTCTGAGTCATTTTCGGGCGCAAAATGCTGGTAACATTATTCAGTTTCGTTGTCTTTGAGCACATCTATTTTTATAGACCCAGGATGACATGGCCGGCGAAAGACTTCTATAAGCGGAAGTTGCTGTGCATTTCGCCACGTTTTTCATCGTGTGATTAATTCCCGGGTTGCAGCTGCAGCACATTGATTGTATGATTTAACTTTGAAGTAATATATTCGATTAACCAAGCATTGTTTCTACGATCAATGCGTTTTATTTCTCTCACCGGAAACAACTGGTTCCTTTAGCGACAATGAATTTCTCGATTTACGTGAGAAAAAATTAAGCACATTTCAGCCTCGAATGTGCTCAAAGTAAACTCAAATGAAGCCAACGAAAAGACCTGAAACGCCAAAGGTTTCGTAAAAATCTTTTAAGTGCATTTTGGTTCACTTTTGTCTCAACACGAGGTCCGTTGTTGTGACAGACGGGAAAACGAAGCAGATAGTTTATCGAGTTTGTTGGCGGTTTTCTCAAATAATTCTGCAAAAATAATTACATGAGTGTACTTACCTTACATTGTTGCAAAAATTCTGGATTTCTCAAGTTGTTTAAGGTGCGAAATCTTTTGATGTGTGATCCATTCAAATGCTCAAAGACAATGACGATCAACACGTTTCTTTCCTCTTGATTTTCCCGCTTACTAGGGTAGGCCGCTGATGTGCGAAGGCTCAATAACTCACGACGCATGCTATATTGAGTAGCTTTTTTGAGTCAAAACGCCAGCTGAAAGAGCTGGAAGCACTAATCAAAGAGATCTCGCAAAGTCTTCAGGCTTTTTGAGACTCAAAAGGTCATCAAAAGTCAGAAGATTTGTAGAGAATTTTAACTAAATATAGATGTAGATGTCTATTTTTAGTGCGATATTTTACTTTTCGTAAATAACATGTCGTTTGGTCACGCTTTAAACAATGGAGTAGAGATTCCAAACATTGGACGTAAGTGTTTCCATGTCAATTTTTATGACTTTTTATATAATAATTATTTTAACATAAAATATAAGCCTAAGACTTATCTAAGTCAGAACTAGAATTCATACAGGCCTTTTTTGGAGTTTTTGCTTAAAACTCATCACCGCCATGCATCAATAACCCAAATGGACTATAAATCTGGCCAGCTCAAGCCTGTTCTGACAATGGTAATTTCTTGTACTGATTTCATGGGTGCTGTAAATTACTACTAATGAGAGATTTTCTTCAGTTGGAACATTTCAGATGAAATCAGTGGCTGAAGATGATGTAATTTACAGAACAATCGATAGCGCACTGCAGTGTGGCTGCAGACTTATAGGTAAGAAAAGTCAAGTTCACTGCAGACTGTCTGCAAAATTTAAAAGTGTCTCATAAGGTAGTCAATGCATAGGGTATTACCCTGTGAGAAGGGGGGTAAGTACTGCCATATACAGCTATAATTTTCGAGAAAGGTTGTTGGAAAAAATGTGCACGCGACAATCCCGAAAGGTAATATGGGATATGTTCAATACACTGTTCCTGACACTGTAGCTATCGAACCAACTTTTGTTGCTTTCCTTTAGCACTTGCAGACATATGTCCATGACCTCTCCTGCCATTCTTTTAAATTTCTTTGAAAAACAGTGCACTCAAAACCACCCACAATACCTTTCGGGGTTGTCACGTGCACTTTATCCAACAACCTTTCTGGAAATAGCTGTATAGGCTATATACATACCTGCCAACCCCCGGGGTACAGAAATCTGGAGACTAGAAATCTGCGACAATGTCTGAATACTCTCTGAAAATCACCCGAAGGCCTTCCTAACGTTCCCAACATCAATAACAGCGTGCGAAAACCGCGCCAACTTTCTACCAAGTATTGTGCAATTTGATTGGTTAATTTCTGACCAATTACAATACTCGTTAGATATACATCAATTTGATTGGTCTGTTTTACATTTTCTGATCAAGAACAGCTCAAATAGGAGGACTAATTCCACTTCTTGTTTCATTTTCCTATTTGACATCTCAAAAATAACAAAATTAATGAAAAAATTCTGAAAAAGGCCACGGTATGTATTTCCCGGGAGATTTGGTGCTCTAACTGGGAGACTGGGAGATCTGATGAAAAACTTGGAGACTCCTGGGAATACCTGGAGAGTTGGCAGGTATGTATATAGGTATATGCTGCTGTAAAGGGTATAGTTTAGATTTAGGTTTACTTGCAACTCATTAAGCTTTTGTTTTGGCTAGACTGTGCTGCTGACCTCTGTACTTTTTGAAAAAATAGCAACTCTAGGATAGGCCATAGGAAGGTATATTGGGAGTTTAGTCTAGTAAAGGGCAGCAAAGTTCAGGTGGGCTAGGTCCAGTGTAGGCCAGGGGTTCTACTGTCCCAGCAGCTCATCCCTATCCAAGAATTCTTAAGGTACCCCTGCCAGGGACATTTTACATTAGTGACATGATTCTTGAGTACTCATTAATCAGGGACTATGGTCTGTGAGAGCATTGACAAAGGTTTCAAATTATGGCATAATGATGACACAATGTGTTTTTTTCTGTTACTCGCACACATTTTCCAAAAAAGTTCACCAGAAATGGACATATAGACAACAATATTTCCATTGTCTAGACTCCTAACGACAACAGAAATGTGTTGTTTTAGTAAATATCCATACTGCTTACACAGTGGTTTTTTTTTGTATCCTGCAACCTCTTTGAAATTCCAGTTAAGCTTCATACTTTCCATTAAAAAGTTTGGTCCTTAAGACCCTGCCTTTGTCTCAAGCACTTATAGGCACTGAGATGTTTTATGCACAACGGGAAACAGTGTAACAGAACTTGTCATATTTCCTTAAGCCTTTCAATAAACAACAAGAAGTGGCAATAACAAAATATTAATTTCCTGTTATCATATTGTAGTCTGACCATGCTTAATGAGTTAAGGCTTTGAGTCTTGATTATTTTTTGCTTGCTGTAAACAGACACAGCTGCTGTTTATCGGAATGAAGCAGATATTGGACGTGCACTAAAAGAGCTTCTACCAAAGTATGGCCTTTCCAGACAAGATGTCTTCATAACAAGCAAACTGTGTGAGTCTTTGGAATTTCTCTAATGTGTTATTAATATGACAAGTTTAGGTATGTATCTTAAGTTATTGCCTTTAATTAGCCAAAGAAAATGGCTTTTTAAAGTCAAACGTTTCGTTATTTTGCACTGACATGTCTCTATTATAGACAGTTTTGTTGGNGCAGATATTGGACGTGCACTAAAAGAGCTTCTACCAAAGTATGGCCTTTCCAGACAAGATGTCTTCATAACAAGCAAACTGTGTGAGTCTTTGGAATTTCTCTAATGTGTTATTAATATGACAAGTTTAGGTATGTATCTTAAGTTATTGCCTTTAATTAGCCAAAGAAAATGGCTTTTTAAAGTCAAACGTTTCGTTATTTTGCACTGACATGTCTCTATTATAGACAGTTTTGTTGGTCCCAACGCTCCTAGAGGTCATATATGTACCTCTATAATAATTCACAGTCCCCTTTTGACACTTTCTCTTCCAAAAGTGGCCAAAGTTAAAACTTGACAAATTTCCCAGATTTCTTTTCAAAAAGATTCCAAAAAATATTAATTTAATAAAAGAGAGGTGTCCTTTGAACGTCATACAATAGGATTTCATCCACAGACTCAAAAGTTAGAATGCAAACAATTGTTGATTATAAGTTAAAAGAAGTGTTAGCACTGGTTTGGATTTTGTGATTTCAAGACTTACCATAAGTTATGACAACAGAGTAGATTTATTTAATGACAATACAACTTTATTGACTTTATCTTCGACATGTAAGATTTCAGTACCAAAACAATCAATATATTACTTACAAATGAAACAAAGTAAAATAAAAGTTAAGTAAGAAAGAAAGGAACAACAACTATCTATTGAATATTAACATATTAAAAAGAAAAAATACTTGGCTATGTACGGCTTCTATGCTAATAAACATGTGTAACTTTTAACCATAGTGAATTTGTTTGGATATATATATATATATATATGATGGATATATTTTTTCTTATCTTTGTGTGAGAAAATACCCAGTGAGCAGATCAGGCCCTTTGATCTTCACAGAGCCCCGAGGCTTTTAGTTACTCAATATTATTAATGAAAGTCTTTTTTAACACCCACTTCAAATGACTTTCAATGAGTATCCTGAACCTGAGTACATTAAGGACTTTAGCAATCCAATGACACAATGGCAACAAGAATGTCAAAAAAAAAATAGGTTTAATAAGCAAGACAACAACTTTGCATATGCATCACACTTTTTTGTACATTTCTTTGCTGCTTTGTCACTACTGTGACATAAAAATGCCCAGTTTTGCATTTTATGGAGAACATGCATAAACTAGCAACAATGCAATTTTATTTATCTTTCTGAACTTGGGTATGGTCCCTTGGAATTTTACTTCTTATAAGAGGTTTTGCCTATATATTTGACAAAGGAAGTGGTTAGGAATAATCAAAATAAAGACTGAAAGAATAAAAATTCACTTTTTGACCGATGTTCTCATTGCTATTGCGTCGTTGGATCTTTTAAAAAGTCTTCATTACCCTTGAATAAGTTCAGCATTGATCTGTGTCTAAAAGCTTTAGAAGCAAGCTGTAAAGACTTCATTGGCAGTCTTCAAATTATATTTGCTTGAACTCTTAAAATATTTCATATATATTATGGTATTTTTTTGTTGTTCTTCTCCTCAGCCCCAAGAGACCATGGATTTGATAGTGCAGAGGCGGCTTGTATGAAGTCTCTAGAAGCTTTAGACTGTGAATATCTTGACTTGTATCTTATTCACTGGCCTGGTGTACAAAAGCTGAAAAGGGAAGATCCAAAAAATTCTGAACTTAGAAAGGGAAGCTGGCTAGCACTAGAGAAGCTTTATAAAGCAGGTTATTTATTTTAATAGACCTTTCCACATTTTTTTCAATTTTTGATCTGGACCAGTTATCAAAAAATCCATCAAGACAGGTGAAAAGCACGCTTTAAAATTAGTAAAGATGCCAAGTTTGAACATGATATGTTGAAAATTAGTAAGAAAGATATAGCTCCACAAAGTTGCCAAATTCTACAGACATTTGCCTATAGTTTGCCTATAAGTTAATGTACCCACTATACAAACTATTTTACATCATTCTGTACAATTTTCACCACAGGCTTTGTGAATTAGCTATTCAACGTATCACACTTGAACTTTGCAAGGTACTCTTTCTGGCAGTGTCAATGGATATTTGCTAACTGGTCTTATTAAAAACTAAATCATTGGATAATGCAATTCTAGAGCTCTGATTGGCTTAGCCATCATGGTGTATGAGCCATTATACCATGATCTCTAAATATGGTAAGTGTACTCGTCTGCTCAAAATTTAAAATAAGCTGAAAATCGGTTGTTTTTCCAAATAAAGTCAGGAAGAATTCTCGATATTTTATGGGCATTTTTAATAAAACAATTATTCCACTCACACTTGTAGGATATGAGATGATTAATGGCTATCTACTAGCTATCTCATATCCAACGTGCACTCATGGTGGAAGGATCTATTCTTAACTCCGAAAACGCGCATGGATTTCAGACACCCCTAAAAATAATCCCCCAGCCCCAGCCCCTCTAAAAAAAGTTGGTCTATAAAGTAAAAGTAAGTCGATGTGATGAGCTCATTCTGCACGGGTCTCCTTCAGGTTTACTCAGAAGTATCGGTGTATCAAACTACACAGTTGCCCACTTGGAAGAGATGTTACAGTATGCTACTGTTGTTCCTGCCGTATTGCAGGTGACGTTTGTTATAATGTGTCTTCTCTTTTGTACAGTAGTGTCTGTTTGTTTCTCCTGGTGGTATAGGAGAACAGCTTTTACTCAAAGAACAACATTCATTCATGAAGGGGCAATTTCTTACATGTATTACAAAGTCACTGAAACTGAAACTATTAATGCATTACAAAATACAATTGTTGGCAACTTAAAAAATTTTCAAAGAATTTTTAAAGGCAACATTCAGAGAATCTCTGGGTATGTATCATGGTATGTGTACTTGCTTTACACGTTTGTGTTTTTTGTTTTAATTTCAGTCTATTAAAGAATTAAGCATGATATTGTCTACATTAACTTCCAAGAAAAATGCAATGCCCAGTGCAGTTTTTCTCCTCATGTTCAAATTCATAGCTTGTTCTTTGTCTGCATTCAGTCACAGTTTATTGATTTGACTATTATAGATAACTTCTGTGCTGGTATCCCTGAGCAGCCATCTATTATTCTCTATTTAACAACTCAAGTGTTTTAAACTGTAGGTAGAGTTTCACCCAAGACTTTTCCAGAAAGGGTTGCTTGAGTACTGCCAAAGGAAAGGAATTTGGCTACAAGCCTATACTTCATTAGGCCAAGGAAAGGTATGTTACAACCAAGATGAAGTCTTCGATTCAGTGGGTTTCTAGTGTGGGACCAATACATGTAGTTGAGAGATTCATTGCAATGAGCTGAAATCATGACCTTATGGCTTTTGGGAAGTGTATGGACACTCACTAAATGAGCTAGTGCAGGACTTAAAAAAATCTTAAATTTCAGCACGTTTATTGGACAAGCAGCTCTCAAATTTGCTTGCCCAGGACCACTGCATCCTTGTCTAAGTTTTTGATGTAGTTAGAAGATGACTTGACTAGACCTTTGCCCATCAGTTAAGTAAGCATGAAAACTTACTTGGCTGAAAGGAAAATCTACTTGAGGTGGTTACCAGATGACACTGTTTTTAAGCACCTTTTTTAATAGACACTGAGCTACAAAACTTGTCAAAAATCTTGAAACACTTGTGTGCATTTTCCCTTCCCCAAAGTTGGTTTGGGTATTACAGTCCTCTCAGTGCTCCAAAATACATATGGCTCAACATTGGGGAAGAAGAGGGGCACAGTTGAGTGAGAACAAAGGTGTGGAGAGTGAATGTAAGAATGTTGCGAGAAAATTCAGGAGTACCCAACGTCAATTAAGTGTCGAAAAATATCTGTTCGGAAGATGATTTGAGATCTAGAATTTTCGGAACATTTGTTGTAAAATTTCTTGTTTGCCTGCCTCTCCTAGGATTTTCGAACATCTAAAAAAATGGTATAATTGCCCATTTTTAACGGATTTTTACCGTAAAAAGGTCACCTAGAACTTTCGGGAGCCTTTTTTCTGGCTGAAATTTTCGAAAAAGTACGTTTTGATCCCTATAATTTTCGGATCACTAGACTTTCAGCTAGGAAATCCGAACAGATGAAAAAATTTTAGTGGATAAAAATATGCCTATATCTACCGTTTAAATACTAAAATACGTTTGACAATGCTATGTTTAAGTGGTTTTGAACTATATTCTCGTTGCGTGCCCCTGAAAATTCAAGAGGAACGGTTCCTGTTTCAACGATTTGTGATGAGTATTGTAGGCCTTTACTGGGTTCATGTCACACACGTCCAAAATAGTGCTAGGACCAGCGGTGTCTAGATGACTTGTATGAACAACAATCTCATTTACCTACATGCGGTAACCTGTAATCTCTAGTGTAGAGTATGGTAAGCCATCTTGTACCTTGAGCAGTAGTCATTATTTACAGTGAAACCTCTATCATTATGGATCCCTTGTTGGTGTCCACTTTATAGGAGTTGTCTACAGACCTGAAAACCCATTTATTTTACAGAAAAACAATTCAAAAGAAAAGTTTGGACTTACTGTTGCTTGTGTCCTGTAAATCTGAAGCGCTCTGCTTATTACAAGATAAACTGTCTTGAGTTTTTTTTTTTTTTATGGGGGGAGGGGCAGCAGGGTTGGATAAAAGTCCTGGCCGGTAGTTCGGGACAAGTAGATTTTCTTTCAGGGCAAGTAACTATAAACGGCCACTCGCCCAGTGGGCAAGGGTATAGGCAAGTCATCCTCTAACAAAATTATTAACCAAGATAAGCAAGAAGTGGCCTCGAACAAGCAAAATGTGACCGCTGCTTGCCCAAATGACAAGTAGGAATTCCCTTTTTTTTTCGAGTACTTGGGGGTTGCTTTTGTTGTTATTTGTTTTTTAGAGGAAAATTTGAGGAAGACTGTGCAAAACAACTTAATGCAGACAAAAAAGCAAGATTGTACAATGAACCAAAGTACTACAATCTCTTTAGCTCTTAGATGAGGCACAAGTCAGAAGTATAGCTACAACATACAACAAGTCAACAGCTCAAGTGTTACTCAGTTGGGCTCTTCAACATAATGTAGGTAGGTATGCTAATTATAGTTATTACTCAGTGTATAATCAGCATGTAGCTCTCCTCTGAACTCCTTCCACCTGTTTGATGTACTTCATAAGATGAAGGTGCCAGACTGAACTGGCGTGTTCCTTATGTGGTCTCACAAGGGCCATTTAGGTTGCTTCTTTCACTCCCTCATCAGGTCAATAGACCTTTTTACCGATTCGGCGGCTATATTGAATTAATTCGATTTAAGGAGTTTTCAGATTTTGCAAGAGAAACCCATGTTTTTTTATGAACCTCATAAATGATGGGCCAGCCGTTTGTGCTATGCCCTATATATAGATGTGTTTTTTTATTTTTTTGAGACCTTTTCTAACCTAACTGATCCAAACTTTTAGCGTAGGTAGGCGTCGAACAGGTTATACCAGGTTAGGAATGTACTTTAGCAATGATTTTACATGACTGCCTGCCATTTATTCAGTGGCATGATTGTTTATTGATGCTGGACGGACAACTATTTCATTTCCCAGCTCGTAAATCACAGAATGCCAAAGAAATTGTTTTCAAGATAGACACACCAGTTTGTATCATCGCCAAAACAGCAATTACTTTGGCCCAGAAGTTCACTTGATGACAAGCAAAGCGGGATAACACGTGATCGATGACGGCCGTGCGCTGGAAAATTTTCCCTTTTTATGCGGTAATTCCTCACAAAAGGCAAAAGAAGATTCCACTATGTAGAAAGTGCTTCGCAATACGTATTCTTGGCGAGAAAAATTCCAGCGATGTGGTGCAAATAAGGAGTTTCAACGTTTAACCACGAGAATAGATATGGACATTAAGAGGTCATAACAGACTAATGTTACTTTCCGTTTGCCGAAACGTGGTTAACCGTTGTAACACGAAAGAAGCAGTGTTTTCCTCAGTTTGAGCGGTCGTTTTCTTTGAGATTCAAATACCAGTTCACGTTTCAAAGCTCTCTTTTCAAGTGTGTCAACTACTTTTGTCCCTGATTGTAGCTCCTTTTCCACTAGATCCTATTGTGACAGAATGAATACGATTACTTTCTGTTGTTCTCAGAAAGTCATACTTACTGAGGGATTAAATTTCCGAGTGCACTTCTGGGTTTAGAGTTCTTTATTATAGTTATATATAGTTACTGTCTTTTTCAACAGGGGTGATTCCAAAGTCTGTCCGACCCCAGCACATAAAGGACAACTTGAGTGTTAACGACTTTCAACTCTCTGCAAAGGACATGGCCATCTTAAATCACATGAACACAAACACTCGGTTTTGCTGGGATCCAACGGCAGTCACGTGACACTGTATACAGGGAAAATTTTGGCATATTTTGTTAACGTCGATCAAACAAGAAAAGAAATTTGTGCACAAGTAATGTTCTCTTCCCCTGATGCTCGTTCCCCGTTGTGTTCTTTAACCAAGTTATTGGCTGCGTTGCCTGTGCAGGAGTGCCACAGAAGTGCCACAACAAGTGAAGCCTGAGATTTAATGCAATGAACTCTGATTTAAGACGATGTTTATTGTTCCTTTTTGATAAAATGGTACTCGCTGAATTAGTCGGATGAACAAGGAACGTGGTTCACTTCGTCTGATCATTTCCATCTGTTCCTCAATAGTCCGCAATACAAACGGCGCTTTCTGGGCGGACTGGGCTCAACGTACTTCACGTAAAACATTTCTACCGCCATAGTTGGCAAATCCCCTCCTCACACCGGGATGTTCAATTCCACGCCCGCATTTGAACTCTGTTGTGCAAAAACATGCACGTCATGCATTCTCTCAACGACAAACCGCTGAAATGACCAGACCAGCTAACGGTGTTGTGAGACAAGAAGACAAAATATAAAAGACTGACATGATCTTATGTGTATACTGAGGTCTACTGGTACAGAATATTATTTCTTTTATATCAAAAAGTAAGCACATTTGAGCAATTTTGTCAAATAATATACTCGAAGATCGTGAAAGGAGAGAAATCCCATTCCCATTCATTTTAGAAATTGTTAATCCCTTTCTCAGTGGTTAAATCCCAGCCCCAGTGCAGTAAACCCCATTTTCCCAGAACATAGAAAGGCCAATCCCAGTTCCCATTTTATCCATTCAGAACCCTCTAATATGATTTCACTGAATGGCATGGTTACTCGTCATCTCGTCATGTTATCTCAACGACGTTTCCTGGAAAACAACTATCTGAGATCACACAGACTTTGTTTGACGCTAGACTGACTCACGACACAGCTTAAGTCAGCTGTTTAGCCTTGGAAGAACTACAGAATTAGAATATTTTTGGATGTAGGTAAACAAATCGAAGCAGTAAAGTATTATTATTTAGGAGAGAAGACAAGATGAGGTTGGTTATTGTAGTGAATTTGTCTGCATTTAATACACATCACTGATAGTCAGATTTGTATTCTCATAGTTCAAATAAGAAGCTGTGAGGCCTTATGAAATAGGCTTGATTGACGCCGCTCTCTCGGGTCTCATCTTGCTCCTTTCCGAAAAGAGGGAGAGGGAGGGAGGAGAGGAAGGGGGCTTATTTCCTGAACAGTGGCTGTCAAACCAGCCTAGCTTCATGTTTATACAGTTATCAATGCGAACAAGTCACCTGACAGGCATTTCTCTCCCATGCAGGTAGCTAGATAGTCATAATTTCGACCCCTGTTAGGAAAACTCGGATTTGTCTGTGCTTCTCCCGGATGGTATCTATATGCCTTCTGAAGCTCTTGCAAATGTCAAGATATTGGAACCTAACCTGACAAACAATACCGCGACAATCTCGTAACCACTGTCCTCTCTCTCGTAGGAGTTATGCGACGGCAATATAATAGTAACGTCACTTACCAAGTGAGTTTGTCGTTGTATTGTTGGAGGTGAAATTCGTTCTCCGATGAAACATTGTCTAGGCTGTCTTCAAAATTTGCTTCAACCAATCAGAAGTACTGCCCAGATCTGGATAGTTACGAAAATAAAAATCCATCCCCGGTGGGAGCTGAAGTAGTTCTCACTATGGGGTGTACTTTGGGTGTACACGTGCAAGTTGATAGAGTGAAATACCTTGTACAAAATTCAGGGTTCGTACAGAGTCATAAGTGAAGGTACCTTATCGTTATTGGTATTAATTTCATAACGAAGCGTTAAGTCAAATACTAATAATGTTGCCAGTTATGTTCTTTTTTGTAAGGTGAGATAACCATGGCTTATGCTAATCATCAAGCACTCAAGTGGTTAAAAGCTGCAAAAAGGGGTCGTGAAATTCCCCCAAAAAAATTAAACAACGATAAAATCACCCTGAACTCCATGATAAGCACAGGACGTACACACCATTGTCTTTACGAGGCTTTTGTGTCAATATTTAAGATGCGTTCTGCTAGCTGCTTGGGCTTGTTACCACTCGACGGAGCCAGAGAAGATTATTAACAATTTGGCCCACAGGAACAGAACCTCTTCTTTTGGCTTTAAAAAGTATTTGCGATTAGTGCGCTAAGCGTGCTCGTTTGCATAACTGCCACACTTAGCGTGTCAAAAAGCATGCCCCAAGAGATAAAAGGTTTCAGCGCCGCGAACACTAGTTTGCGAACACGTTTTTAGTTGTTTGAACAATTAACTATGCATTTAGTTGGACACGCTGATCTTCTTGTGACTGTGCTATCACAAGAAAAAAACTTTAAAAATATCTTGCAACTGGTAAACAAAAAAAAGTAAACAGGTCGCTGTATCTTTTACATCCTGTATTATGTGGATGTATATTTATCACGTCCGCTAAAGGCTGATAAAAAGGACTTTAAGATTCAACGACGTGACGACAACGAGAACGTCACTTAAAAAGTGAATTTGCGTTCTTTCAGTCTTTATGGCGATCATTCCTACTGACTTACTTTGTCAAATATAGGCGAACCCTCCTGAAGCTAAATTTTATATGACCATATCCAAGCTCAGAAAGAGAAATAAAATTTCGTCGTTGCTTGTTTACGTCCTCCATAAACGCGAAATCCTAGTTCCTAGATCCTTCCGTCCTAGTCGTGCAAAAACGGGAAAGAAATGTACAAAAAAGTGTGGTGCACGTGCGAAGTTGTTGTTTTGCTAATTAAACCTATTGTTTTTTTGACCTTCTCGTTGCCGTCCGCGTCGTTGGATCTTAAAGTCCCTAATGTCCTTCGAAACCCCAAGATTTCCCGGTGACATGATGTTAAAACGCTCTATAGACCTTTTTAGCTTGTATGTTTTGTTATCCTATTTCAGACTACGTGATGCGCATGCTCTTAAGGGAATTTGCTTTTTGTCTTTTCTTCAATCTCCTTCCCAGAGTCCGCGTTACCGTTGTCTCCGTTGCCCGTTCCTTTGGACAAGGGTAACGCGGACTCTGGGAACGAGATTGTCTTTTCTTGAATTAAATTACGCATGCCTACTCACGGGAATAGGACGATATTTGATTCCATCACTTGCAACTATTTTAGTAAACTCTCCAACCTCAACAGTAGCGTGACAATTTCGTCCCAACTGTTCTCTGACCAGTAGGAATAATGGTCAGCAGTAAATAATGATGTCACTAACCAAGTATACTTCGCCATTTTTATGTTTATTAAATTTAGTGGAAGCTCTCACTGTTTGTAATGTGTGTTTACCTACGCCCCACCTGGAAATTAGCTTTTGGTGTATGTGGATAGCGAGGTTAAAAAATTGTTGATTGATTGATTGATTGAATTATGATAGATTTCGTGTCACCTGAGCTCCTGTGAGCCAGTGTTCAACCTAGCCAGGGTAAATACCTTGGCAAAAAGCTAACCCTAATAAAGCTTCAAAGGGGGCTTTTTCTTCTCTAGTTCCCACCTTGTTAAAAGGTGTGTTCACACTGTTGAGGTCAATAATCACCTTATGTTAGCATCGTTGCACATCATGATACGCACTTCAAGTGGCTTGTTTCCACTGGTTCCCAGCTTAGCCTAAGAAAACAGCCGACATTTGGTGACGCCACCACTGGTTTCCCCGCGTAATGACGTCTGAGAAACGAGCGCGGAAATTCCACACTGATGACGTGTCACTACCCAGATCTGGGTAGTAATTCTAATTGGTTGAAAATTTACCAAAACTAATCAGAAGTTCTACCCAGATCTGGATAAAACGCAGGGTTCGTAAAAAGTCTTGAAATTTGCTCAGCGATTTTGCAGAACCTGAAAAAAGTCTGGAAAATGGAGGTAAAGTCTTGAAAAATAGTAGAAAGTCTTGAATTTTTTTTCAAAGCTACAGTAACTAGTGATTTATAAGTGATTTTTTTTCGTTTTGGTAAAATCTTGTTCAGTTTCTTCGGTATGTTTGCAGCCTATCATCAGTCATGAAAAAAGCTTTGTTCCTGCGTTTTTTAAGGTCTCTATTGATTAATGACCTTTTTGATAACCTTGGGTCTGGAAAAAGAAATTATTGTCTTGTAAAAAATTCTGGAAAAAGTCTTGAATATATTTTCTGGTATATGTGCAAAGCGTAAAAGGATCACCTCGGGATTTCAGAAAGTAAAGCAGGGATGTTGGAACGGACCGAAAAGAATTTTTACCAGGCCTGCCTCCATTGGTTCCTAGAAGAACTTCGGTGCGAACGCAGGCGTCTACAGATTTAGAATCACGCTTACGATTAACACCACTTTGAAACATGTGGCTAAGCTCTCTCTTTATTTGTCATTTAATGTTTAAAAAATAAAGACATTCAAGCCAGGTTTATCCGTAAGGATAATTTTCTCGGTTTTTATCTGTTGATTTCCTAACATGAGTAATTGTAATACTTGAACCTGATGTTTCGACTTTGCGGTCAACGTAATTCAACGATTCCGAATCGACAGGAGTGATCGTGGCAGTAACTTTTATGCGGAGACCAAATTTATGGATGGTAGTAGTCGTTGAGAGGAAAATCGAGATATTTAGAGAGTCGCGTTTACGGCAGATGGCAAACATTAGACCCAAGATGACATTTCCTCGAATCAGGAAATAAACAGGTACAAATTTTGCAAAGTACTTGTTATGGATTAAACTGGTCGACATGGAACTACTACCTTTTTTTGTGTAGATACAGCAAGAAAAACAAATACTACAAGTTGAATCGGCTTCTGACGCTGAAAACTGAGCAACAGTGGAGCAGTGGTAAGGGCACTTGCTTCCCTTCCCCTGGGGAGGGGGGTACCGGTACTTCCTATAATGGCCTTTATGGGGAGGCTCCGACTAAAGGGAGTACCTTTTTCATGCTTTAGGTATATGAAATGGTATAACTAGGTTGTTGTTGGTTCCCTACCTCTCCGAGAGGTTTTTGTCTGGGTTCTCCGATTTTCCCCCTCTCTCCAAAAGTCAACCTTTCCAAATTCCAATTCGACCCAGAACACACTGACACGAATAAGTTTTTAGAAACTTCTAAGTGCTCCGTGGGAAAACAAATTACAAATTACCAGTTTATTTGTTTATTTTTTTAGACTGATACCTTGGTTCCATCAGAACTCACGTTGCCGCTTGACGTGAAAATGTGATTCTAAATCTCTCTGATAGAGGAAATGCTGATTTTTTTGTTAAAGAGAAAATAGATAATTAAGGATAAACAAAAGAGGTCTTAACAACGAAAGGCTCAAAAAAGTTTCCTCGTTGAGTTTGCTATCTCATACGCTTTATTTTTAAAAACCTGGTGAGATTACATTATTATACAGATTACACTGAAACTTCCATGTGCGGCCTTCTAGCATACGCGACATGTTTTCCTACTCTAAGCACCTCTAAACACTACTGAAAACTGGACCACCAAATCTTTGCACTTTAGGTGGATATTTTTTTTCTAAAGCAAGTACTTAAAAAAACGTACTACTCTTCTATACTAACATACTAACCTATGCTCAGGCATGAATATTATACAATGAAATAACCTTTAGTTTACCACCGTGATGACTAGTTTGGAGTTTGGACAAGTTCAGGTTTCGCTTGGCTTTTAGTTGACTTAATTGAATCGTCAAACCTTATTTCATAATGCAAGGTTGCAGAACTATATACTGTTCTTCTATGTCCACAGAAAGATTGGCTCCAAAATATATACAATTCGACTAAACTATAAACCTTGCAATGTTGTTTACATTGTAATCAAACTTCAATTTGCGATTAAGAATCTCGTTCACGTGAAAAGTTTTTGTTAGTTGTACTCTTAGTGACTAATTAAGGAAGTAAGTTAACAAATTACCTAAATAGATAGCCTGGGAAATTATCTAATCCTGATGTTATTCACGTCGCAATTACAGTGTATCATTGTCCGAGCTACCGATGTACAGTTTTACGAGACTGGTGATTGGTGCTTTTGCAAGACATTTTAGACCGAGATTAGGCCATCGTCTTTTTTTTTCTTTGTTAACCGTCGTCCGACCGACCCAAATTTTTGGCATTTTCAAAAAAAAGAAAAGAGTAACGACGTAGTTACACTATTTTTCACTTGAAATAATTCTTTTAATCTGAAAAATGAGCATAGTAACAGGAGAGAGAAAAACAGGGACAAAAACATGAACATTTTTCACAGTATATTGCACATTTTGTTACTCCAAATATGTGAATGTCAACTTTTAACGTCGTCCTGGGGTACCAGGGCCTACTATTCCGAGACTTCTTGTGATTTTTTTTTTAGGTTTTTTTTTTTTCAATCCGACCGACCGACCCAATATCAGGAAACGCATTCGACGGTAAACGAAGAAAAAAAAGGGGATGGCCTTAGTCAAGAGTACTCAAGGTACCTATGTACAAACACACAAATTCATAAAATCAGCCCGAAAAATAATCAAGCCGGCAAAGATGAACAGCTAGGCGAAGCAAGTCAGTTCTCTTTTAAATTCTTCTAGTCTGAGTTATGTTCGTATACTGCAAGGATTGACCCTTTACACTTTCCGCCAGGGACTACCTCATTGGAATTCTGCGGAAGGGCTGTTTCGTTATTCCATGGTATGTTGTTAGTGTAATACCTGCAACAGTAATGTATAAGAAACATAAAAATTAATAAAACACATATATTCATTACAAAAGACTCCAGCTGGGGTAAGTGGAAGAGGGATCCTCCGGCTTTATCTTAAGGGAAAAGTTTACTTGTTTAAGTTTATCTCACCGCTAAAACTTTCCAATTAGGTATAATATATGAAAAGCAGGGTGCACATCTAAAATAGGTTTGAAACTCCTTGCCTTGGTGACCTTTGGAATCTCGGTCTTTTCTCTTTGGTCCAAGTTTAGAGCCAGTGTACTACTGTTAGTGTCCGCGAAAAGCCCTGTAGTTACGGTCAAGACGCCATACACAGCCGACAATTTGTAGTTTTTATTGTTTTTTTAGTGTCATAGTAGTAGTCAATTTTTCCTTTTTTTTTTTTCTTTTTTCTTTTTTTGATTTTTAGGACTTTAAGACTTTTGATTTTTTCGATTCTTAGGTTTCTTTACATTTTTTTAGTGTATAGATTATAATATATTTGACACTGTAAAGCGCATTTGGGCGTTAGGAAAATGCGCTATAGAAATATTATTATTATTATTAAAAGATGACTTCAGGTGTAGTCAATAATGTGGCTTTCAAGGGTAAATACTGCTTTTTATTTAGTACTTGAAATTACAAATGTACCCAAGTAGATACTGAAAACTGCAATGCAAAAAGACCTTGCAGATTTCCTATGGCCCTAATTATCAGAAAGCACGAATTACCTTCACTTTTCTTCACCAAAGTGAAATGACACGTCATCCCCAATCAGCATGAAAGGTGCCCATTGCCTCACTTCAGAGAAACCGTTATTTCGCATCCACTTCATGGCCCGGTGAAGACATTCACTTGCACTTTCTCCTTGGACAAAATTTTCGTAGAATCTTCTCATAAACTGTTCTGTTGCATCGTCTTGTAAGTCCCACAATGCCACCAACACTGAGCGTGCACCCGATCCTAAGAATGCTCGAGCGATTCCAACAACGCCTTCTGTTTTGATCTGTCCACATGCGGTATGACAACAGCTAAGGACCACCAGTTTGGCTGACAGTTTAACTTGTGAAATGTCGGTCATTGTCAGTAAGTAGTCTGCTTCATGTGGAGGACGCATTGCAGAGTCAGGGGGGGTAAGAGCAATTTCTCCTCTTTCGGCATCACCATGAGCAGCGAAATGTATGAGACTCACTGAGGGTATTCTCTGAAGAACTGCTTGCCTTGTTGCTTGCTCTCCTATTAAAAGGTGAGATCCAGGTAGTAGTCTTGCAATCATCTCTGCTTCCGCTTTCGCGCCAGGCAATGGACAGAGATACCTTAACTTTCCCTTGAAATACACATCCGTCACTCTTGGCTCACCCACAATCAATGCACCAGTTTCGCCGTGAAAGTCCGCTGGACTGTCCAGAATGAGCTTGAGAGTCGTCAAAGAAGGAACAATGCGTATCCTGAATGAATCTGATAAAAAGTGGTTACTTTCATCATGTAATGCTGCAAACGGAACTTTGAAGAAGCAGCGATCAGGAACAACAATAATCTCAGATCCTTCTAGTACGTCTCTTACGGGATCAATCAACATGTTGTAAATCTGAAGAAGTGTTGGCGGTTCAGGGTCTGTGTTTACTTTGTCCTCATCTAAAGAAAGACGCAAGGATGAGAAACTATCTTCCAGATTTGATTCGTTTGTAAGTTGGTTGGTGTAAGAAGAGAAGAGTGATCGGTCTTCGCATTGCTCTTGAGGTAAAACGTGAAAATTTCTCAATAAGCTTTCGTTTCCAAAAAGGTCATCCACGGAGATTTCGCCGTCCTTGCTGACGTAGCTTTCACAAAGTTTCGTTCTTCGCCAAGCCACCAGTTTGCTTTGTTTTAAAACCCACAAAAATATGTTGTCAGAGTAGTAGGAAATGTATAGGCAAGTGCTGTTGCCATTTTTCGTCATTACTTCCTCAATGCCAACAAGCGATTGTGTGTTGATGGATATTTCTTTTTCAATAGAGTAACGGTTTGACATTAGTTCTGCAAGAGCTTTGGCCCGTCCAAGTTCAGCAACGTGTAAAGCTTCATAGGGTTTCCCATAAGAAAAACTCAATGAACTAAACAGCCGATAGGGTTCCGCGTGGTTGTCAAAAAATGATATCTTGCGGCCATCTTTGTTTCCTAGAAAGCTATGCATTTTTTCGAAAATTTGAATACCTCTATGGAGAATCGATAAGGCTTCAGATATGTTTCCTTTTGACTTTAAAAGACACCGAAATAGGGAAAGTAAAGAGTGATATTGCAAATTGATGTTTCCAGTCCTCCTGCTAATTTCAAGAGAATTCTGAAAATATTTTTGAGCCTTCACACCTTCACCTAGGCTCAGGTGGCATGTTTCTTCTCTGTCTCTGTCGACAATGGTAAGCGCTTTATGAAGATATTCTTCAGCCTTGGCATATTCTCCGACAGACTGAAAAAACCTTCCTAGGTTTGCGTAGCATGACGCTTCTCCGTCTCTGTCGCCAATGTCTGTGTTGATGGTAAGTGCTTTATGAAGATATTCTTCAGCCTTGGCATATTCTCCGAAAAAATGAAATACCACTCCCATGTTCATGTAGCATATCGCTTTTCCGCTTTTGTCGCCAATTTCTGTCTTGATGGTAAGGGCTTTATGAAGATATTCTACAGCCTTGGCATATTCTCCGACAGACCAAAAGACCTCTCCTAGGATTCCGTAGCATGTCGCTTCTAGGTGTCTGTCGCCAATGTCTGTGTTGATGGTAAGTGCTTTATGAAGATATTCTTCAGCCTTGGCATATTCTCCGAAATACTGAAATAACGTTCCTAGGTTTCCGTAGCATGTCGCTTCTCCGTCTCTGTCGCCAATGTCTGTCTTGATGGTAAGTGCTTTATGAAGATATTCTTCAGCCTTGGCATATTCTCCGACAGACTTAAATAACGTTCCTAGGTTTGCGTAGCATGTCGCTTCTCCGTCTCTGTCGCCAATGTCTGTGTTGATGGTAAG